CCGCAGGGACGTTCTTCCCTCCTACCAACTTGCTGAGAACTGTTGAGCCATCACATTCCAGATCCCCGTTCCCGGAGCGCTTTAGCCACTCCAATTAGTCTCTTAATCACAGGAATTAGACATGGGAAAGGACTGTTGATTCATCTCCTTGTTTCTTGTCCCAGTGCCCAGTTCGTGCACTGAAAGGAGGACAGAGCCCCGTTTCCCTCGCAGGTCAGGGACCAGCCTGTCATCACGGACAGCCGGGAAAGAGCACCTGTAAATCCTTCATTTCCCAGGCCGGGGAATGGCTCAAATGGACAAGCCCTGTCCAGCTCTCCTAGGGAAATCTACACCCTCCTTTTCCAAGAGGAAATCCTCTTGCATTAGACATGAGGCCATGCATTTCCACGTTTACTTTTTCTCCTGAAGAATACCCATGTGGCATAACTCAGACATCTAGGCAGTGCCTCCTGCAACTGGTGAGACCAAGAACTGACCATCCACCCAATCTTCATCCCAGCCACCCTCGGAGCCTGCAGAGGAAACCCAGGCCACAGTGCAGCTCCTGTGCTGAGCACTTCTGGGGATACTCCCTCTTCTTGCTGAGGCTGGTAATGCCAGGCCTCGACTAAAAGCTTGAAGCCGATCTTATTACAGTAGCTCTGAGGACGCAGAAATCCCACCCGTGAGGAACAATTGCTCTACAGATGTCCCAATTATGCAGGAAAGGAACCAGCCATAAAAAAGCAATTTTAGGCTGGTTGAGATTATGAAACGCTTTGTGTGTGTGCTTGCCCAATAGTCCTCTACTCCGTTTCCCATAAAATAAACACACGTAACCCTTTAGCCAAGGAGGGCTGAGCACGTTTGGTCACGTTGCGTCCCCTTCTCTTTAATTCTTTCACTAGGCAAATCTTTCCATAAAAGGGGAGCTTTATTGCACTGGAGGGGGCTCCACCAGATGTGCACCATAAACTGAGCCAGTCTGTCAAAGAAAGCAGGCAGTGTGATCCAGAGCAGGGGTAGGGTCGTCTGAGCCAACGAGAAGTTTAGTATTTCCGACATGCTTGTTTTGAGAGGCCCTGTTGGAGATGGAGGTGTGTGAAGAGCAGGTCCTTGCCCTAACAAGTGACCCGCTGTCAATGTGGCGAGGGAGCGGGTGATCCACCAGAGGAGACACAGGGACAGGCTGAGCATCACATAAGGATGGCTGAAGTACTTAGGGACCTAGAGAGGTGATTTGCATGAGTCTGACACAGCTTCTCTGCTGTACTTCACCTGGAAACACCATCAGGCACCTGCCAGCACTCCTGGCACCTGCAATATCCTTGGAAAGCTGGCACAGAGGGAGCTTGTGGTAAAGCTGAGAATTCAAACCAGCCCCACAAAACCAGACAGCGGGCTGTCCCTCGGAATGGTGAACTCCAAGATGTTCCTGAAGAGCCTCTAAGAGGAGCTGGTGCTTTCAAAAATGCCCTGCTTGGGAGCAGTAAGAGACGGCAAATGGGCACAGAGCCCAGGATGGAACCTCTGCAGCCCAGCTGCTCTCTGCAGTGTGATTAAAAGTGACTCGTCCTTCAAGCAAGGGCTGGGTTCCCTGCAGAGACCTCCCTGCTCCAGGGACAGAGGTGCTGAGCCACCTTCCTGCGGATAAGCTGCAGTCCAAAGCTTGGCAGCTTTTTCTGAAGACTGCAGAAATGGCTAGTTGCTGTTCTAGGCAGGAGCCCAGATGGATGAGGCAGAGTGCAGAGGACGCTGCTGGTTCTCCACCTTAAACCAGCTCTTAGATACAGGAGGAGCAGCCTTGGAGCAAACACATTCCCAGGGCCCATCAGCCAGCCTGGAAGCTGACATACCCTCTCCACAAATTGCCCAGTTTAATTTTCATCTAAGTCCTCCTTTTCTTATGAGTTTTATCGTTCCTTAACCACTCCCAAAACCCCTCACCTTCCCCAACACAGAGCAGCAGCTTTCCTCCCCGTCCCCCTTAGCTTTGCTGCCCCTGTGCCCCCTCCCAGCCCCGGTCCCTCTCCCTGCCCATCCCTCCATCTCACCTGCGCCGGGCTCCTGCCTGCGCGGTGAAACGCTGCTTTTATCCGGCCCGCTCCCGGGAGGGGAAGCCAGTCCTGCACATAACTGCCCAACAACAAGCAGCCCTGTGTCCGGGGAGGCTGCGCTCGCTAAGGTGGAAGCTCTCGATCGTTTTGGCTGGGGAAGGGGCTGTGGGGGGGGACGGAAGGGGGAGGCACAGCCTTTTCCCTTCCCTCAAGTTCTTGAAACACTGAGCTGCCTTTCAGCCTCTGTTTGTCTACAAAGTGTCCCTAACCATGTGGGTTTATCTTTCCTTTCAGGGAGAATTGGGAGCCCCAGGTCCTCCTGGAGTCCTTGGACTCATTGTAAGTACAAAAACAAATGGAGATCTGGCTTCTCGGGGCTTTAACCCTTTCAGCCTCCATAACTACGCACAGATTTTCTTCTTCCTGTGGCAGGGCAGTTTGTACGGAGCAAGCATGATGCCTGGGGAGAGAGGAGGTTGCCTGGTAGACTGGGAGGTGGAGGGCAAACCCTTTCTAAGCAAAAGCGAACAGATTAGAGGTTTGCTGTTAGTGCCCTTATTCCCACAGAACTCACCCTTTTGATAACATTTACCAGGCTATTTCTTCAAAGATGCAATGTTCATTCCGCACCAGATCTGTCGTCTCTTAAAACGCAAGTTCCTGTAAGCAGGAACCTCAGGACACACAGTTCTCGCTCCCTGGAGAGACCGTGGGTGGGAACTGTCTGTCCTCTGGGTATACAGGAATTTTACGTGCGCTCTCACCATCCCGTCACTAATCCAGGTAATTATGTACACAGCCAAATTCCACCCTTCGTTACACTCTTGCCCAGCAAAAGATAAATGGCTGTAAGGATGGGTGGCAGCTCATCCTCTGGCAGCTGTGCTGAGGGTTAGTGAATGCCCAGCTGAACATACTATGGTTTATTTTTAGGTCTCAGTACTTGTTTCAAGTTATTTCCTTCCATGCACAAGAAGTGGCAGGCTCTGTTAGTACTACAGCATTCTTTCAAAATGATTCCTCCTCGGCTATGATAATCCATGAAAACTTGACTTGCAATGAGTTAAAAATCTTCCCCTTTTGCCTTTCCGTAGCTTAACGGAGAGTGTATGTCAGCTGGGATCAAGGCCTTGGTTGCCCCGGATATTGCCCATAGAGCACCAAACCCAGAAATCTCAGACACTGGGAGGAAAAAGCAGAGAATATGATGGAACAAGTGTACCTGTCTTGCAAATAAGGGATTGGGGCAAAACTGATTAAGGCTTCGTTTTTCATAGAGCCAGGAATTAGGTCTGTGTTTTCCGCTTGTTAGTAGAGATGGAAGTAGCTGCTTTAGCCATAGCAGCAGAAAGGATACACTCCTGACAGGGAGCTGGAAGAGGAAGGTTGCTATTTAAAAGAATACGATTAAAGGTATTGTCCAAATTGGATTGTGTTTCTCCCAGCTTTTGGAAAGATTTATCTTAACCTGGTTGCTGTTATCTCACAGATATTTGTTTGTTGGAAAGTGAAAGGTCAGACATGGTAAATGTGACTAAGATCCTTCCAGAGCTGACGGAGTCAGGAGGCTGCATGCCCTCCCCTCTGAGCTGGCCCGGCCAGTGCCATGCCGTTATGTGCTTGGGATAGACCGCAGGGGCCAGGAAGGACAGGTTTTGCCTGGAGGTGATGCACAATGAGGACAGGCAGTGTGTGGTTTCTAACCTGCCTTTGTGATTCTGATGGTTTTGTTCCGTGTTGGCTGCAGCAACCCAAACAGCACAATTCTGTGAGGCACAACTAAATTCCTTTTTCCCTGACTGGCCCTAAGATCTGGCATTGCATATCCTAGACCAGGATTTAGCTCCATCACCAGGTGTCTGAAGTCTGTCACCTTCTCTTTCTTGATGCCTTGTTATGTTGGTTTCTACTGACACACCAAGTACTGTTTTTGCTGGAAAAGGGCAAAACCAGCAGTTCCCCTTTTGCTGCTAAGCCTGGTCTGTCTTAAACTTCTAATTTTTTCTCCCTTCCCATCCAGATGAAGAAATCATCATTCCTGTTGTGAGCTTCTTTCTAGCTTTACTTTTAAGGCAGAAAGTCAGTCTTTTGCAGTGCTGCTGTTTCAGGAGTCTCTGCAGCAGTAGCAATCAGCTGCTGTCTGTCCCAGTTAGTCTGTTAGTATCGCTCCGAGCAGATAAACATGTCAAACTGAGATACAGGTCAAACTGAGTCAGATCACAGAATCATAGAACGGTTTGGGTTGGAAGGGACCTTAAAAGATCATCTAGTTCCAACAGATCCCTGCCTTGAACACTTCCAGGGATGGAGCAGCCACAACTTCTCTGGGCAACCTGGTCTAGTGCTTCACCACCCTCAGAGGGAAGAATTTCTTCCTCAGATCTTATCTAAATCTGCCCTCTTTCAGTTTAAAGCCATTGCCCCTTGTCCTATCACTACATGCCCTTGTAAAAAGCCCCTCTCCAGCTTTCTTGTAGCCTCTTCAGGTACTGGAAGGCTGCTGGAAGGTCTCCCTGGAACCTTCTTTTCTCCAGGCTGAACGGCCCCAACTCTCTCAGCCTGTCGCCATAGGAGAGGGGCTCCAGCCCTGGGATCATCTTTGTGGCCCAGGGTAATAGGTAACTCCAGCATTCAGGATGCTGAAGCCCCTCTAGTGGGATTGATCTAAGAGTGACCTCCCTCCTCCTAGGGAGAAGGGAACACATCCATCCTGCCTTCTCCTCTCTGTGGGACAGCACCAGCCTCCTGCCCTGGGGTCTGCAGCACGGGGCTCACGCTGCAGGGCATGGAGCAGGCGGCTGGGTGTTCGCTCGGGACTGGCCCCAGTCAGGCGCTCCCTTCCTCCCAGCTCTCGCCACCCCCAGGGACTGGCCACATTCCCGGCTGCCTCCTCGCACGCTGCAGGTGTTTGGGTTTGCTATTTAAGAGAGGCCGAAGAGCAGAATTAGATGTAACTAAAGCCTCTTGCTCTCCTAATTAACTATGTGGGCAAAGCTTGAGCAAACACGTTCCTACAAGAAGCCTTTGTGCTGGGAGGTATGAAAAGGGCATCTGTTGAGGCGGCTGCAGCCCCGCGCTCCCAGCGTGGCCGCGGGCCCGTGATGGCCGGCCAGAGAAGCGCTCCTTCAGCAGAGCCTTCCCTGTTTATTTACTCACTGCAGGCCAGGCTGGTGCCCCGTATCACTGGC